TTAGCAGGGTAACAGTCATGGGAAGATGTCCAGACCCTGACTGGACTTAAGCCAATTTGCATTGGAACTCCACATTGCATTCTTCCAGGGACACCAACATGCATCCAGTGTACAAGGAACAAGAACCAGGGGTCAACATGGATACATTTTACCCCGAAATAGTGTCTCTTAAGGTGGGTACCAGTCATGGAAAGATGTCCAGACCCTGACTGGACTTAAGCCGATTTGCATTGGAACTACACATTGCATTCTTCCAGGGACACCAACATGCATCCAGTGTACAAGGAACAAGAACCAGGGGTCAACATGGATACATTTTACCCCGAAATAGTGTCTCTTTAGCAGGGTAACAGTCATGGCAACATGTCCAGACCCTGACTGGACTTAAGCCAATTTGCATTGGAACTCCACATTGCATTCTTCCAGGGACACCACCATACATCCAGGGTACAAGGAACAAGAACCAGGGGTCAACATGGATACATTTTACCCCGAAATAGTGTCTCTTTAGCAGGGTAACAGTCATGGCAACATGTCCAGACCCTGACTGGACTTAAGCCAATTTGCATTGGAACTCCACATTGCATTATTCCAGGGAGACCAACATGCATCCAGTGTACAAGGAACAAGAACCAGGGGTCAACATGGATACATTTTACCCCGAAATAGTGTCTCTTAAGGCGGGTACCAGTCATGGGAAGATGTCCAGACCCTGACTGGACTTAAGCCGATTTGCATTGGAACTCCACATTGCATTCTTCCAGGGACACCAACATGCATCCAGTGTACAAGGAACAAGAACCAGGGGTCAACATGGATACATTTTACCCCGAAATAGTGTCTCTTTAGCAGGGTAACAGTCATGGCAACATGTCCAGACCCTGACTGGACTTAAGCCAATTTGCATTGGAACTCCACATTGCATTCTTCCAGGGACACCAACATGCATCCAGTGTACAAGGATGAAGAACCAGGGGTCAACATGGATACATTTTACCCCGAAATAGTGTCTCTTAAGGCGGGTACCAGTCATGGGAAGATGTCCAGACCCTGACTGGACTTAAGCCGATTTTCATTGGAACTCCACATTGCATTCTTCCAGGGACACCAGCATACATCCAGGGTACAAGGAACAAGAACCAGGGGTCAACATGGATACATTTTACCCCGAAATAGTGTCTCTTTAGCAGGGTAACAGTCATGGCAACATGTCCAGACCCTGACTGGACTTAAGCCAATTTGCATTGGAACTCCACATTGCATTCTTCCAGGGACACCAACATGCATCCAGTGTACAAGGAACAAGAACCAGGGGTCAACATGGATACATTTTACCCCGAAATAGTGTCTCTTAAGGTGGGTACCAGTCATGGAAAGATGTCCAGACCCTGACTGGACTTAAGCCGATTTGCATTGGAACTACACATTGCATTCTTCCAGGGACACCAACATGCATCCAGTGTACAAGGAACAAGAACCAGGGGTCAACATGGATACATTTTACCCCGAAATAGTGTCTCTTTAGCAGGGTAACAGTCATGGCAACATGTCCAGACCCTGACTGGACTTAAGCCAATTTGCATTGGAACTCCACATTGCATTCTTCCAGGGACACCAGCATACATCCAGGGTACAAGGAACAAGAACCAGGGGTCAACATGGATACATTTTACTCCGAAATAGTGTCTCTTTAGCAGGGTAACAGTCATGGGAAGATGTCCAGACCCTGACTGGACTTAAGCCAATTTTCATTGGAACTCCACACTGCATTCTTCCAGGGACACCAGCATACATCCAGGGTACAAGGAACAAGAACCAGGGGTCAACATGGATACATTTTACCCCGAAATAGTGTCTCTTTAGCAGGGTAACAGTCATGGCAACATGTCCAGACCCTGACTGGACTTAAGCCAATTTGCATTGGAACTCCACATTGCATTATTCCAGGGAGACCAACATGCATCCAGTGTACAAGGAACAAGAACCAGGGGTCAACATGGATACATTTTACCCCGAAATAGTGTCTCTTAAGGCGGGTACCAGTCATGGGAAGATGTCCAGACCCTGACTGGACTTAAGCCGATTTGCATTGGAACTCCACATTGCATTCTTCCAGGGACACCAACATGCATCCAGTGTACAAGGAACAAGAACCAGGGGTCAACATGGATACATTTTACTCCGAAATAGTGTCTCTTTAGCAGGGTAACAGTCATGGCAACATGTCCAGACCCTGACTGGACTTAAGCCGATTTTCATTGGAACTCCACATTGCATTCTTCCAGGGACACCAACATGCATCCAGTGTACAAGGATGAAGAACCAGGGGTCAACATGGATACATTTTACCCCGAAATAGTGTCTCTTAAGGCGGGTACCAGTCATGGGAAGATGTCCAGACCCTGACTGGACTTAAGCCGATTTTCATTGGAACTCCACATTGCATTCTTCCAGGGACACCAGCATACATCCAGGGTACAAGGAACAAGAACCAGGGGTCAACATGGATACATTTTACCCCGAAATAGTGTCTCTTTAGCAGGGTAACAGTCATGGCAACATGTCCAGACCCTGACTGGACTTAAGCCAATTTGCATTGGAACTCCACATTGCATTCTTCCAGGGACACCAACATGCATCCAGTGTACAAGGAACAAGAACCAGGGGTCAACATGGATACATTTTACCCCGAAATAGTGTCTCTTAAGGCGGGTACCAGTCATGGGAAGATGTCCAGACCCTGACTGGACTTAAGCCGATTTGCATTGGAACTCCACATTGCATTCTTCCAAGGACACCAACATGCATCCAGTGTACAAGGAACAAGAACCAGGGGTCAACATGGATACATTTTACCCCGAAATAGTGTCTCTTTAGCAGGGTAACAGTCATGGCAACATGTCCAGACCCTGACTGGACTTAAGCCAATTTGCATTGGAACTCCACATTGCATTCTTCCAGGGACACCAACATGCATCCAGTGTACAAGGATGAAGAACCAGGGGTCAACATGGATACATTTTACCCCGAAATAGTGTCTCTTAAGGCGGGTACCAGTCATGGGAAGATGTCCAGACCCTGACTGGACTTAAGCCGATTTTCATTGGAACTCCACATTGCATTCTTCCAGGCCCATCTACATGCATCCAGGGTACAAGGAACAAGAACCAGGGGTCAACATGGATACAGTTTACCCCGAAATAGTGTCTCTTTAGCAGGGTAACAGTCATGGGAACATGGGGTGATGTATATGGGCACTTGAGCACCAGCAAGACCCCCACCTCCATAACCTTGTGCACCAGGTGAACATGTGTACCCACACTTAAGCACTCCCCCACGGACTAAACCAAGAGGGAACACCGGTCAGAAGTTCGTGCCCCTGGTAACACTGAATAACAACAAAATAGAACCCCCAAGGGTTGCATGTGTGTAGGCATAGTTGGTAACATTTGTCTTGCCCTTGGCAGGGAATTTGCATTGGTAGTTGACATCACATTTACATTGTGCGGACTTCAGTACATTTTAAGGAAAAGTCCCATGTTAACTATGTCCATAAGACAGACATATTCCTTACATGGATTAAACGTGTGGTTTTTTTACCACAATGTTGCGGAAATTAATGGATAAAATGCACGGATTATTATTATTATTATTCCCACTCCGATCGGGACACTAGGGCTGCTTCTCAGG